AGTTAAACCTTAAATAGAAAATACAAAAATTTTATAGAAAATCTAACTAAATCACGAATATAAAGTTAGATCCAATGGGGACATAAAACAATTAGAAATGTAATATAAACTTATATAAAATATAAATAGAAAATTATTAAAGTATCAGTTTATTGTCTAGAGATAAAATAAAACTACTCATTAAAATATTTTGAAATTTGTGAATTTATATAAAACTAAAAAAAAAAAAAACAACGATGAGGGGGGACTAAGAAGGCCCATTTACTATGCGGAGAGTCCAGAAGGCCAGCCCATTATTAATGGTAGTTGGGCCATTTTCAAACCCATCCTGCCTTCCCTATTTTTTTGCCCGACCCGAAAAAAGGATAAGTTGTTTGTTTCATTTCATGCTGCCTGTTCACTCAATTTATGTACAGAAGCTCTCTCTTCATCCATGGCTTCCCTCTGTAACTCGATTTCTTTCACTTCTATTGCTAAATCAAGTTATCCAAACAGACCCTTACTTTTCCCTCCAAAGTTCTTGAACACCTTCCAGTTTGCTCGCTCCATCCCTGCAATTCGGAGCTCCAAAACCGGAGCCACGAACTCCACAACTTTCCAACAAGAAGACCATAAGACGAATGATGAATCAATGAGCATTGATATCCTCCATCGATTCTTCAACCTCAATTTGGGCAAATGGACTGGTTCTTTTCACGTGGGTATCGATTGAATACCTCTGAATCATCACTGCTTAGTTTAAATGCTTGTTTTGTTATTTATAAAATGTTTTTTTTTTTTCTTGTTTGATTATGTAAGCTGCTTTGTTTTTGAACAATTTGAAGTGATTCTGGAAATACCCAAATGGAAAAAGATGTGGGAAATGAAGTGTGAATGCCAATTAAGCAGTGCTTGACTTAGTTGAGTTGATTTTGATGTGTTTCAGATAGGGAATTTTGATTCTCGACAGCAAAGGAAATAAGTGTTTGAATTTGAATTTGCAGCAATTTGATGTTGACGGGAGGTTATTGCAAAAGGTGAATACAAAGCTTTCGGTGAGCTCTTATGGAGAAGATGAACTCATCAGCCTTATTCAATCGTAAGGACTGTATTCTTTTCTCTCAACTCAATTAATGCATATTTCCCATTGGGGAAAGAAGATAAGACACTGAAATATTGGGTTTATATGAGTGTTGGTTTACATTGGTGAGAAGATATAAGTTTTGCGTTGAAAAATGCTAAAGACTAGACTTTTTCCTCTATTTTCATCAGTAAGGCTTTAACCAGGTAATAAACCTTTTTCTATAAATGGTAATGGGCAATGTGTAATGAACTATGATATGATAAGGGTGTCGGCGTACACAGGTTTGTTTACAATGTTTAAGTGAAAACAATAGAGTATTTCTTAGCAGCTTTAGAATATTCATTACTAAAGGGAAAATGCAATATGGTTGGGAATTTCACTGAATTTCAGTAAACTTTTTGTGTTGCATAAAATCTATATTTTACATGCTTGGCTAGTTTTGAGTTTGCATTTTTATTTTGATGAACTCAATAAATTGAAAAATATTACAGTAAATCTTGTGGTTCAGTGTAGCTTTAGTTATTTGAATGAAAATAGAAAAAGGGATGATAAGTGTAGGCATTTCTATATGATCTTTTCTGCAATCTATCCTCGCTTATCAGACCATAACTAACTTAAAGTCCAGAGCTTAGAAGACATATTTATCCAGAATCCCTTTTTATTTCTGTTTTTCTCTCTCCTTAATTCCAACTACAGCTGAATTATCATGCAACTATATTTACTGTGAGTGTATTATTCCCTGTATTGGGTCAATAAGATGAAGGAAGGCCAATGACTTTGTTGCAAGAATCTTGCATCTTTAATACCACAATTCTTCAGGTTGTTTAATTCATTTTATTTTGTAGGTTGTACATTGAACAGCCTCCCTCAAGCACATCTATTTCTGGGCAAGGTGAGGAGCCTGAATGGGTAGAGTACAAAATCAAAGAAACAAACATGTTCACTGTAGACAAGTACCAACAGGTGACTCTTCTGACTGTATAAGGACTTGAGGCTGTCTGCTTACAAGTAGCTTATTTTGTTGCTTGTGGCATATGTTATTTACCTTAAAAATCCATTCTCTTTAATCTGGCAGATTGCCTTTTTCCCCAATGAGAAAGCTTTTTCCTTAAGGTATCAAACAGCTGGCATGTTGGAAACTGTGCTAAGGCAAGGAGTGCTGGGAGAGGATGACACAGGAGAAGAGTCACCAAAGTGAGTATTAACCAAGAGATTTAACATTGTAGGTGTGGGAGATGTTACCAAGAGTTCCTGATTTTGTGCTTCTTGTTGCTGTTTTAGCATTCAGTGCAAGTTAAGATACACATTGCCTGTTCTACAATTCTTTCCTACCTTGCAGAAATCTCAAGCTTCCCTCTCGTCAGCCCTCTATTGTATGTGAGAATTGCCTATATTCAATGGAGAAAGATAGACGAGTCAGAGCATTTCATATTATGGATCCAAAAGGCTTTTTAGAGATGCTTCTCATATTCCTTGAGGAGAGAGGTGATGGGTTTATTTCTCATCCATCACTTGGAAGTGATATGGTGATTTCTAACACCCATTTCTATGAATATTGCATGATATTGATACCCTTGTGTGTGATTTGCATAAATAAAAAGTTTCTTTAATTGGTTGCAGGATAGCAAGGGCAGAATTTCACAATTTCTTGGCAAGTGGAAAGGTCATTCTGTAACAAAGCGCAGTGGTGTATATGGAGCCACAATTGCTGAAGCTGATACAGTTGCTTCACTTGAAATGGATGATAAGGGACAGTTGATCCAGGTACCAAACCCAAAACTTTACTGCTCCAAAAACTTATACCTTCATACAAATGCATCTTTGTTTGGTGTCATTATTTACTCTCTTTTGGTAGACTTCCTCCACTTTCCTGCTCACCTTCAGACCTTCTCCATCTTTCCATTATTTTTGGGGATTCCCTATCGCCTCCCACAATGCTTCCCTCTAGTGCCCAAAAAAACGTCATGATGGTCAGGCAAAATCAGTGTATAAAGTTATTGCTGTCTTATGTTGTTACGCATTACATCTGCCATCTGTTTCTTTACTGTGGGAGTCTGAGTATTTTCTTTTTGTTTCTGTAAACAAAATGCAATCAGGATATTACTTCCACGTCTGATGTATGTGATGTTACCACTAATGTGCATTGGATGGGTACAATGTCAAATGACTTGGTCTTGTTTGATGGAGGATACCAAATGACATTATTACCAGGGGGCATGTATATGGGATGTCCCACTGATATTGCAAAGATCATAGCTGAATCCAAGGCATTCCATTTAGAGTTATGTTGGCTTGAGGCACCTGGCAAAAGACAGAGACTGGTTCGAACTTATGATGCAGAAGGGTTGGCTGTCTCATCAACTTATTTTACTGAAGTTAAAGTGTGAGTTCTTCTGCACCACTACAGCTGTGTCTCCCATCTGAATGTATGTATAATCCCTGTCTTTCCCAGATTCCTAATGGTCTAGCCAAAGATTTTGGTTCAACATGAGCAGCATCTAGGAAAAGGTCCACTTTTATTGTATTTGTAAAATTCTTAATGTCTAATAATTCTTTACAAATTACAATCCTGATTTGCCATAACCGATGGCAGAAGTAAAAAAACTGCAGGGAAGCTGAAATTGATCCCTGTATAACCCATACTTCCATACCAGGCCAATAAACCCAACTCATAATTTTCAACAGAGAACATTTATATCTTAAATGGCCCCATGTCCTCAAGAAAACATGTCATATTGGTTAGGAATTTAAGTCTTCATGTCGGGAATCTTAAATTTGAATCTTGAGATGGGTATCGAGAGATTTGGGAAGAGGACTATCACTTGTGTTATATGGTCTATTTTGATGTGCTAAAAGAAAATCTTAAATGGCCCCCATTGATGACAAAAGGTGAGCAAAAAAATCATGAGTTTGTTCTGAAAATTACAAATTGTACTGCATGAGTTCAATAAATTAACTTTACCAAAGTAGCCCAAGATGATCAATTTTACCCCATGATGGGGAAGCTGAGTGGAGGAAGGTGCACTCTTGAGGGACCATTTCCTTGTGTTCCTGACTTAATTTGGACTCCAGCAACTGCAAGTGGACAGATTTCCCCTTTTTCTTCTGGACTGACTGCTTTTTCAATGCAAAACCGTGTGCCAACTACTAGAAAACTAACTAACATGAGAGGCTCTTTTCTTTTTTCTTTTTTTTCCTCTGAAGGAGAAAGAAAATAAAGTAAATGTCAAGTGGTCAAATTTTGGCTCCATTGACAGTGACACTGCACCAATTGAATGCTGGCAGCCACGTCGCATTCCACGTACAACAACTTGCATTTCTTATGATTTTCCTATGGTGGAGGCTGGTGGTTTCCTTAATTTTTCCTAATAGGAGTGGGTATTGAAGAAAATATTAATTGATTGGTTTTAATTGACCTGCTCTCTTTTGTTCATCTTTTTCCCATTGTGGGATACATGGCAACTCTTCAACTTTGGATCTACCTTTCTCAGTTTTGGAGAGGGAATGAAGTGTGAACAACCAAATTCATGGAAGCAAAGGGTGTGAGTTGGAGAGGAAACATGAGGTCAATGACAGCATGAAACAGCTTCCTTTCTCTGAAGAGATTGTGGAAGTTGGTTTTGACTTCACCGGATTGGAGAAAGCAAAATAAATTTATTCCTTGCTTTTATGCATTATTATTTATATACATTTCTTTACTTTAGTGCTAGTAGGATAGAAAGTCGGAGAGTGAAAAGAGAAAGTCATAATTATTTTTAAAAGAGTTAATGTTTTTTTTTTCCCCAAATATTCGTATAAATATCAATGAATATGATAATTATTCATTATTTACTA